AGTTTGTGTTATCACATATAATACATGTAAACTAGTATATCTGGGATTTATACACTTAAAATAGTAAAAATGAGTGTTGTGTTCCAAGATCTATAAACTAAACTCAAAAATCAGCCCTTCACAGAAACGTTTTGGTCCAATATCGAACTGTTTTGACCACGTAAATGATAATATTTTTCAAAACTGTTTTACATGCAAAAAGTTCAGGTTTATACCTTTAAAATGACTACTCTCACGTTTTCATACGATTTTTCTACAATGTTTGACGAATTTTACAAAACTGCCTATCAGATTTGAAATAATTTCGGACCAGCCTGTGAAGGTGAGCAATTTCACACTTGTTAGAAGCCATTAAAAATTATGAAAAAAATTGTGAACAAAGTAGACAAAATTTCCAAACTTCCAGAATTTACGGATCCAAATTTCGACTTACGATGATTTTTCTACAAATTTTCCAACAACCGGGTCAGAAAAGTATCAAACCATAAAAATGTGTATTTTCACGAAAATCAAGCCAAAAATGATATTTTTGACAAAAATGGGTTAGAAATGTTATTTTTACCAAAAACTAGCCATAAATACAAGTTTTAAACAAAATGTGGACAAAAGTGTTATTTTTACTAAGATTGGGCCTTAATTGTAAATTTTTGGATTATTGGGCCAGGAATGTCATTTTTACAAAAAGTGGGCTTTTTATGTTTTTTTTGGTAAATAATTGGGCTAAAACGAACAATACAATAACAAACGAGCTAAATTTTGCCATTTTCATGTTATTGGGCCTTAGTGGCCCATTTATATGTTTGATGGGTCCTGAATACTATTTGTATGTTTATTGGGCCTCATTGACCCATTAACATGTGCGACAGACCTTGGATACTATTTGCGTGCTATTTGGGCCTGTAAATGCCTTACATGTGAAATGGGCCTTAGTTGTCCTTTTACATATATTTCGGGCCCATGTTATATAATCTCATTCCAATTGGGCCTTGAAATGATTTACATGTTTAGTGATGCCTTAGTGGTTCACTTACATGGTTCATTGGGCCTGGAATGAGTTTATACTTTTCTTCGCGTAAATTCGATTAAGGATCTAGTGAGTTTTGTTGGTTGACACCTATTAAGTGTACGATCGTAGCCTGTAGTTATAACCAGAGTCTCTTGGAGGGAGAGCGGGGATTTGTGTATAGATCTATACGGGGATGACACCCCACACCTGAGCTGTTCGCTACAGTTAGACTAACTCAGTCTAGGGTGACGAAAACCTTATTCTATTTTCCATCGGCGTCCAACAACGCCAAGACAGGCGAAATTGTCATTATTTAGTATGGTTATGACGGCTCACTTAGAGGAATTAACGTTATGAAGTTTACGGAAGACCATTCTCTTTTCTCTTGGATTACTCAGAAACATACTCTCATTGGTACTCAACCTCGGGGGTTGGTATGGCAGCCTTTTCTTTTACGGACAACATCGGGTTGTCTGGAGGCATTCTCTTTACATTCTCTTTCCTCTTGGATTACTCAGAAACATACTCGTACTGGTACTCAACCTCGGGGGTTGGTATGACATCATTCTCTTTTACAGACAACATCGGGTTGTCTGGGGACATTCTCTTTACATTCTCTTTACATTCTCTTTACATTCTCTCTACATTCTCTTTTCCCTTTTATTCAAATAAACAATAACATACATGCATTAATACAAGATCTGACACAAACATACTAAACAGTTTTCAGAAAATATAGGATTTTCTGGTGGTTTCAAAGTTATACAAATCATTTTCACAAACATGCTTATGAACTCACCAACATTATATATGTTGACGTTTTCAAAATAACTTGTATTCTCAAGGACTCGTTAAGCAGAAGAATCAACAAGAATAGGGGATTTTGTTTTGTGTACTGTCGAACATCATACATTGAAAGTTTTGGTCATGTTATTTAAAAGATTGTACTTGATGTAAACAATGGCAGTTGTATCATATTATGGATGGTAATGATGATGTTATGTTTCATTTATATTCATTGTGATTATTATTCAATTGTTAGTCACACGAGCCCCCGGACGTTTCCGCCGTCTGGTTCGGGGGTGTGACAGATTGGTATCAGAGCATTGTTTATAGTGAACTGGTATATCTAACCATACAAGATATGCAACTATAAATACAATGGGACTAAACTACTCTGAACATAATAATTAAAATACATACTTATGTGTGCATTTTAGAGTAATAACACAACAAGAACAGTAAAAGTCTTTGGAGGATTTGAACATCACTATTAAACCTGGGCAGTTATGTAGTCGTATTGGGGTGAATGTAGCCTGATCAACTACATTCATTCAAAATACGACCAACATGTGTTCGGGAGTAATTGTGATGGACAATGAATCAAAAACTTACCATTTATTTATCCAAAGCGCTTATAGAATCAAACCTAAACAAAATTTAAATACCATAGGAGTATTTGGTGTGCTATTTGTTTCTAGTAATTATACCCCTTCGTGCAATACACTATAGACGGGCATCATTAGCCAGGAGACCCCTATTTCCCTAGTCAGGGGAATGCAGGGTGGCTTGACCCAGAAGAAGACTCAAAGGAAGAACCAGAGGAGGAACATGAAGTAGAACTTACAGATGAACCCGTCGAGCCAGTAGTGAACCTCGAAGAGGAAGAGCTCGAGGGCGATGATGATGATTACTCGGATGCAGAATCCGATGTCATCAATCCTCCATACAGAGCCAGAGTACCGGCTTATCGTATGGGCCCCGATGGCCCCACGCCCCATGGGCACACGATATTTTGAGATGGAGTCACCAGCAGGGGATACGACCATACTACGGTAGGAACCGAGGTCTCTTTGATCTTAGTAATAGAGGACCAGCTGACTGGGCCCTCCCAGTCATGGTCCGGCGCACCTGAGACGTTGGCAACCAAATGCGATTGCTGTTGAGAGAGATGAGAGACAAACACAGGAAGTGAACGGAGACTTCCGAGAAAGACAGTTAGTTTGGGAGGTACGACTACGAGATACCGAGCGACAAGTAGCTCGTCTCCGAGGTGCATCCACTTTATCAGAACCACCAGCAGACACTTTCCGCCACGATTAGGATCATCCTTTTCTTTTCCCCCTACTATCTGATATGACTCTCTTTCGTGTACTAAGACGGTACTTACCAATGAAACAATTATATGCTATCTTTATTTCATGTTATAGCATAAATTCAATTATATGCACAACCGAACCCTCGAAACCGCTAGATACTTAAGGATCTCGGAACCAAAAACAACCCATATACTCTAAGGATAGACGTAACTATCGTGCCAAATTTGCGATTACCTACTACCGTAAATACATCATAGGGATGTAGATGGAAACAATGAGAATCATACGACAAGATGCGAAATTTATAGAGTACAACCAGGAATGACGATCACTACTTACGATCTGGCTTATCATCATGCAGCAGGAAAATGTCATCCCATAGAAATAACAAGCACACCCACGAGACACCGCTCTTGCAGATGGACTCTGCTACATTCCAAGCTGCTGTAACAGCGGCAGTAACCGCTGCTATGGCACAACTCAGCGCAAACAACACCAATAGAGGTGGAAATAGCATCGACAGCTCCAGCCGTAGGAACGAGCACGGAAACCAACAAGTGACAGCTTATCAAGGCACTCCAAACCCCAAGCTTAAGAACAGGAAGCGGAAGTCTGGAAGTAAGAGAAAGGGACAGCCCACTCAAGGGTTCTCGAAGAAGCAACATGTTGTTGCTGTCCATGCGATCATGACCCCTACTACATCAACACCAGCGAGAGCATATGCTGGAAGTCTTCCAAAATGCAACCAGTGCAATTTCCATCATAAGGGAGCCTGCCGGGAGCCGCATTGTAAGAAATACAACCAAAAGAGTCACACCACCAAATACTGTAGAACTTATCCACGACAGAATTGTCAGCTAAACAAAAACAACAACAATCGCAACAACCTTAACAACAACACCAATGATGAGACCAGTCACACCTGCTATGGGTGTGGAGGAATTGGTCACTTCAGACGTAATTGCCCCAAAGCTAACAATCAAGGAGCGGAAGGATCAGAAAGGGTCCTGACCTTGGGTCAAGGCGAAGCAGTCCAAGACCCGACGGTTGTTACTGGTACGTTCCCACTTAACAACTCTTTTGCTTGCATCTTATTCGATAGTGGAGTTGAGCGAAGCTTCGTTAATAACAAATTTGAGCACTTACTAACACAAGACAACTACAAATGAACAAACAAAATACTGGAAGTAATGAATTAATGGAAATACCTGCTGCTTGACAACCTTGACTCGCTGACTGCTTCCTTGAGTTCGTTCCAACCCAAATTCAAAAATTCCAAAGACAAAATCCACACAGAAGTATTCAAGAATTGACAATTGAAAATCAATATTCTGTAAACAATGGATAATTGAAAATAATTAACCCGAATCGGCTAACCCTAATAGATAATAGAAAACTAGAAAAGAAGTGAAACACATATCGTTTGACGTTGAGGATTTGAACAATTGAGAATCGAGATAAAAGAATAGAAAATAAATATAGCGTTTCAATTTTCAAAATCGCACTAATGTCCCGCATGCATTTTGTCTTCAAGAATCAAAATCGTTCACCATGATGTGACATATACAATTAGTAACAAACTAATTGAGATTTGTGATATATTAATATTGGGTTAAGTTTGGAGAATATAAGGTCCTTTAAAATTAGGGCCCTAATACGTAGCTTAGCAAAATATAAGATTGGAGAATATAAGGTCTTTTAGAATTGGGGCTAAGACCTACCTTAGCAAAATATAAGATTGAACACCCGTAATCCTAAATAGCCTTATTAGCATGATGAGAAACACAATAAACTAATAAATGATTTAAATAAAAATATCAATCACCCTAAATTAGAAAAAGAGTAAACTTATAAAAACTTACATAGATCTCAATCCATAAAAACAAGCCCGAAGCAAATCAACTCAGTTGACTCTTCAAACAATGCTCCAAAACCAGGGTTGCCCATAAAACACCCCTCTATCCAAACAATGCTCCAAAACCAGGGTTAGCCATGGCTCTTCTTCCTGTGTTCCGCCATTTCCTCACACACTTATACCATCACTCTTCTAAACCCACCTCCTCCACCACAGCCATAGCCATAATCCGTACCTTTAAAACCCTATCACCTCTTTTCCTCTCTTCCTCTCCCCTTAAACCCATATCCGCCTCAAATCCCCATTTCTCTTCCACAGGTATGTCTATGCTGCACAATCTTTTTATATATTCCCAACCCCTTAATTGTATTTGTAGGATGCACCAATCATTACAATAAAAAAAAATTGTATTTTTTCAATCCCCTTTATTGTAATTCCAACTTCTCTTCCGAAAATTCCATGTGCGTGCGCAAATAGATTGATTTGTGTAATACCCTCCATGACGAATCTTATGTTTTACTGAACGCTCGATGTTTTATGTAATTACATGCCTATTTTCCTATACGTGGTTCCAATTTTGATTACTCAAGTCGCCAAAATGCGATTAGTTAGTATCTTTCCTGATAAACAATGCTTTCTATCTGTCAATTGCAGAGAATACCTTGATATTAAACAAAGATGAACGGGTCGGGTTGACTTCACCAGGCATAAACCCACCAGACCCGGAAGCGAATTCAAGTAGTACGATTGCTGCCATTGTTACTTCTTTAGGTGGGCAAGCGAGCGCAGTAGGCATTGTAAGGTTATCTGGTCCATCAGCAGTAAACATAGCCAGCTCTGTTTTTCGTCCATCAAAGAAAAGGAAAAAGAAAAACTTTTCTTGGAATCCCACAAGTCATGTGGTAGAATATGGCATGGTCGTTGACTCTAATGGCGATGTTGTTGACGAGGTAAATGTTTTAAATTCTCCTCCTTTTTTCAAAACTGTTGATCTTTAGATTGATCATCGAATTCTCTTCTTTTGTAGGTTTTAGCGATTCCAATGTTGGCTCCAAGATCATACACACGAGAAGATGTTGTGGAGTTACAATGTCATGGAAGTGATGTTTGTTTACATCGTGTTCTAAGAGCTTGTCTAGAAGCTGGAGCAAGGCTTGCAGAACCAGGTTAAGTTGGAATTCAATTCCATTCCATTCCAATTCCGTTCAATTCCATATACCATATATTTACATTCCATTCCATTCCTCAAATCAGGTGAATTCACCCTTCGTGCATTCCTAAATGGTCGTTTAGATCTTTCTCAAGCAGAAGATGTTGGAAAACTCATATCAGCCAAATCCATGGCTGCAGCTGATGCTGCATTAGCAGGAATTCAGGCATCTTTATATATCTTTTAAACCTCAATTTTTCTATCACTCTTATATGATATATCTCCAAATAACATTAAAATTCTTATAAATAGGGTGGTTTTTCTTCACTTGTGAAATCACTAAGAGCACAATGCATTGAGTTGCTTACAGAAATAGAAGCCCGATTGGATTTTGATGATGAAATGCCACCATTGGATATGGATTTAATCTTGAACAAGATTCATGAAATGTCACATGATGTAGAAAGTGCAATGGAAACAGCTAATTATGACAAAATTTTGCAATCGGGATTACAGGTATGCTGTAGCATTCGTTATTAAAACTATACAACTTCTCAAATTTATCCAAAACCATGAATTTTTAAGAGTATCGTGGTTTTAGTAACAAATTTTTTTAGTACAACACTTTTCTTTTTTGGGTGTCGTTTGAATATTTGAAACATAATGTCAAAACATTTTACTCAAAACATATTTGATATTGGAGTTATTTACAGATTGCCATTATTGGTCGCCCAAATGTCGGGAAATCTAGTCTGCTCAATTCATGGAGCAAGGTATCTCCATATTCGGCCCTGTTTCTTTATCTTTTATGAATTTGAAAATAATCTTATTATTATTATTTTTTATTAAGGGTATTTATAAATTAGCTTACAGAGTGAAAGAGCGATAGTTACAGACATTGCTGGAACAACAAGAGATGTTGTGGAAGCCAATGTAACAATTCATGGAATCCCAGTTACATTACTCGATACAGCTGGAATCAGAGAAACTGATGATATTGTTGAGAAGATAGGTGAGAGATTATCCTTTATTAATTGTTGTATCTTTTGAATTTTTTTCGTTGATATTGAATTAATTTATGACTTAAAAAAAAAAAAAAAAAAAATCAGGCGTTGAGAGATCAGAAGCGGTTGCTATGGGCGCTGATGTTGTAATCATGGCGATTAGTGCTGTTGATGGATGGACCACAGAAGATGCCAAATTGCTCGATAAGATAAAAAATAAAGTTCGTGTCTTATTTCCATATATTTATATTATTTGAATACATATAGAGTTTATCTACATTATTGATTTACTATAATTTATTCTTTTTAAAATTTACGAAATATTGCACTAAAAATTTGTGGTGAAAAATAGGGTGGTTCTGGATCTCCGATGATATTGGCAATCAACAAAATCGATTGTGCCCAATTTTCATGTTCTGAATTGGTCAACGCAATTGGTCAAACTTTTGATAAGTATATTTATACATGTGCGATTACGGGTGAAGGGATTGAAGATTTGGAGACTGCAGTTCTTGGGCTTGTGGGCCTACAAAACATTCCTTCAGGTGGAAGGAAGTGGGCCGTGAACCAGGTCTGGATAAAGTGACCAAATTTTTAAAAAGATATTTTTAAAAAATGAAATAATTTGTATTTTTTTGTGATAAATGTTTTGAAGTTTGTCATTTTGTGAATAAAAAGGAAACAACATGTAAATTAACTCGGTAATTTTTGTTGATGAATTATCAGAGACAATGTGAGCAGCTTCTACGAACAAAGGAGGCTTTAATGAGATTGAAGACATCAATGGAGGATGACCTTCCGTTTGACTTTTGGACTATAGATTTGAGGGATGCTGCAATTGCACTTGGGGAGATAACTGGAGAAGATATATCAGAAGAAGTTTTGAGTAACATTTTTGGTAAATTTTGTATTGGTAAGTAGTAATTAATTGTAGTGTTTTTTTGTATTTCTGATATAAGCTATTGTGACACCATATGCATTGTTATGAATAAATGTTGGTCTTGTTGTGCATATTCGTTTTTATTTAGGAGTGTTTGGGATTTTACTTATTTAAAAACATTTTTTTTTGTTTTGTTCTGTAAAAGTGCTTAGCAGCTGAAACGGAGTTTAAAAAAGAGAAAAAACGGAATTTAAAAAAGAGAAAATTGTAAATTTAGCCAAATACACTGATTACTTTGTGGAAAATAGCAAAAAAAAAAAAAACAAAAATTGCATTTTTAGCCACTAAAATCGCAGATGGGTATAATCCATCTGCGATTTCGTCATGCCATCTGCGAACGTACAAGTGGCTAAAGCACAGACATGTTTTAGCCATTTTTTTTTGAAAGAGCTGATTTAGCCACTTGTACGTTCGCAGTTGGTTTTTTTTCCCGTTGTATATATACTCATTTTTTCAGCCTAAAATTACAGATGGACTATGTCCATCTGCGGTTTCCTCTCATTTTGAACTGCGATTTTGTGATTTTTTTTTAATATGAAATTGATAGGTTTGACTATAAAACAACCTTATTATATATAAACATTTTCAATAAATTATCATTTTTGTTGTTATTTTTTTGGAAAATTTGTTTAAAAATTCTCTAAGGAAATCGTCAATGATATCATCCATGATAGCTCTAAGGAAATTGCAAAGAGAGAGAGTTTCCAAGAAAGAGAGTGAAAAATGAAGAAAATAAAAAAAAAAAACGTTTTTATACTAGATCCCACGAAATCGCGGATGGACTTCACAAAATCACAGATGGACTTTTCCATCTGCTAACGCACATCTGTGCTTTAGGCACTTGTAAGTTCGCAGATGGAAGGGCAAAATCACAGATGGGTTTAATCCATCTGCGATTTTAAGAACTATTTTTTGTAATTTGGGTTTTTTTGACTATTTTACACAAAATAATTAATGTATTTGGCTAAATTTGTAATTTTCTCATTAAAAAATAAGTTTGGATTATCTTATGTCTTATGTGGTACCAAACGGATAAATTGTTTTAAAATGTTTGGAATCCATTTGAAGCGTTATGTAATTTGTAGATATTTACCAAATGATAGATGCATAAAAAAATTATTGATTAAATGATGATAAATATAATATTGATGTGATAATCTTTTAAAGTTATTGACCTTAGAGTAAATTAATTAAGGGTATTTTTAAATAAAATAATGGATAATGACTTAAAAAGGTAATATATTTTATGATTTATACACATTTGGTTATTGAATTTTTTTTCGTCTACATTTTCCTTTTTAACTTGTTAAACTGTACACATTTAGTCCTTATGACCGTCTACTCCAGGTTAGCCGGTAAAAATAACTTATGGATTTTCTAATATGTGCCCTAAGGGCACATATAAGAAACATTAATTGATGATATATATTACCATAATTAATTATAAAATACATTAATTATAAGAAATATTACCATAATTAAATGTGAAGTGGATTAATAATCTCCATAGTAAATGTATTTCAAATTTAATTATGGTAATATTTTCATAATTAATACTTCTTATATGTGCCCTTACGGCACATATTAGAAATATTGGATTAATGTCTAAGTCCATAACTATAATTGGCAAGACTTGACCCGACCCGGCATGGTCCATTTGGGTTGCATGACATCATGCATTTGGATAGACTATAATGAGAGAAATAACACTTAAGGTTTGTTAATATATTATAAGTTATAATATATTAATAAGATTATTTAATTAGTATTGATCAAGAATTAATCTAGAATTAATTAAGTGATCAAAAGAAGACTAATTAAATATATGGGTTGATTGTGTAAATCACCCATACTTGTATAATGGGCTAATGCTCCATGGATTGTCAAGTTGGGCTAAAACCCATAAGATGCTCCATGGTATGTTTGAACCCATGGATCCAAGGAAATGGAAAGCCATGACAATTAGGGCTTACCCTAATTGTCACTAACTATATAAGCATCTTATTGTTGACAAAATCGGCCACTATTGGATGAACATGAGGGCTAGCCGATTTTCATGAAGTGTGTATGTTCTCTCAAGTTATTCCAAGTGTATTTGGTGTTGTGTGAACCATTTGAGGTGTCACACTTGGGGCACTAGGTACTCAGGCTTCATGAAGTCATTCTACATCAAAGAGGTATGTAATTCTAACTTGATATATTCATATGAATCAATGTTATTATGCTAGTTAGGATGAATACCTTGGAAAGTTCATATTTGCATGTATAATAGAGAAAACATAGATCCAAGGTATTTAGGGTTGCATGTACACTTAGTAGTGTTAGAATGCTCAAAACCCAACAGTGGTATCAGAGCCTAGGCTTGTTTTCTTGTTATACTTGCAAAATCTGCTTAAAAATCGAAGTTTTTTGCTGTCTGAACAGCAGACTCGCCGAGTCCATAAAGGGACTCGACGAGTCCATGCCTTAAAAGTGTTCAAAACGATCCAACTCGTCGAGTTGGTTCATGCACTCGACGAGTTGGACCCCCTGACAGCATATCTTCGAGTTTTTTGGCTAGAAATGGACTAGGAACATTACCATAAGCTGTTTTTGGACTTATAAACTTATTTTTTATGTGGTAATGTTCATACTAATCCAATTTCAAAGATAATTGTCAGTAGATTCATGTTTTGTATTAGTTTAAGTGTTATGCTAATTACATGAAAAAGTTTGATTCCAATTATCTTGTTCATATGAGTTGCTTAGATTAATAGAAAATGTTGATTGATTATGTGTCTTTGATCCATTTTAATCTAAGAGTGGATTCTAAAATGTGTTTGTGTAACTTGTCCTCAAGTTACATGAAAAGTCACATTAAAGTTTCTTAAAACTCATAAAAGTTGGCAATGGTTACAAAATGAAGAGTCTTGTCCTCATTAAATGGTTTATGACTCCATAACTTGTCCTCAAGTTATGGAGGTTCAAGAGTCACTTCATTAAATAATAAAAATATGTAACCTTAATTAGTTCCATAAGTTACAAAAGAAGAAGAGTTACATTCTTTAATAGTTTAAAGTCTTCCATAACTTGTCCTCAAGTTATGGAACTTGAAGAGTTTTCTTATTTAAAACTACTCTAAACTCATAAGTTATGGAATTAATTAGTTTTGAATATTTTCAAAGCTTGCCCTCAAGTTTTGGAATTTGTAAAGTTTCTCTCATGAATACTTTAATTCCAAGTTAAGGCCTTAGAATTTTAAAAGTTAAAATTCAACCCTTATACTTTATAATATTATAAGTTAATAATATATATATATATATATATATATATATATATAATGTGTGTGTGTGTGTGTGTGTGTATAAGAGCAAGTCAGTCTTACCATTAGTAGGCCTCATTCACGAAGCCGGTCTATAAGGGGGGTATAAGGTTGTTGCCTATAAAATGACAGCTTAATGGGTGTCCACTCTCACCCACCGCTTCCTTGACTAGTGGAGGGTCGTTAGCCGAACAGGTAGGACAAGGACTATAATTCTCCCTTCATTAAAAGTATTAATGATAAATACTAAGTAACTAAACCTTTTATTAATTCCCAATCTTAGTTACTTAGGAAAATGTGAATAAGATGCTAATCCATGAAATTACACTTTGCACTTTGTTTAAACCGTTAGTGGAGCGTGTGTGGTTAACCGGCACTCTAACCTGGATTTAACAAGGTAGGCAAATGGTAACTTAATATTTATCATAGTATCAGTGGAGCTCGTGTGGTTAACCGGCACATCGATTGAGGGGTAAATATTAAGGGTACCAAGTATATTTGCATTTGTTACTTCACACCTTGTTTTGTGATCCTCGACATCCCAGTCACAAAACCTGAAGGGCACACTCGAGATTGAAACATGCCATTGAAAAGTTCAATGAATCTCAAAAGAATCTAGGAGTTTCAAAACCAATTAAAACCCTAATAATACATTTCGTTTATCGTGGTGGAAATTGGTGAATCGTCATTCACCTACCTTCAAATATTTTATAGCCTGGATTACGGCATCCCTCTTCCAAGTTATAAAATATTGTGTTGGGTCCTAGCCTTAATATTTCATATTGGGTGTTATATTAAGGACTTTAAATCAACTATCTTGAATATCTCCCAAAAGTTGTCTAGCTCAGACATCTATGATCTTCCCAAATCTCTTGGAACTTTACTTCCTCCACCTCCTCCAATTATTCTCCCTAACCCACAAGTTCAAGGTCACTCAAGCCCTAATGGCAATCAAGGTCTATGTGTGATCACATCTTAGAGATGAAGTCACATATTGACAAGCCGGGAGAGTTGGGTGTCAAAGTCTTAAGAAAGTTGGATGCTCAATCACTTTCTAAGTCACATAGTAAGTTCCTTATGGACTACCATGTAAAGGACTATGACATGACCCATAATGATCTTATCTATTTGCTTTGGGGTGCTTAATCAGCAATGATTTGGAGCACTGGCAGAGCAAATCTGATTAGTAGATCAACTTCCCAAAACCTTCAATGGAAATTGACAATGGTAACATTGGATACCCAGAAAAAGCATTCTCTTCGCAATGGAAATGGATTGGCCATAGTCAACCCGGTTGACCAAATGGTAAAGAGAAAGGCAAGTCTGTGATAGTCCAGTACACCATTCCCAAAGAGTCCATATGTTTCTCTTGCCAAAAGGAAGGGGCATTGATTGCGAAGCTGCCTATTTACCTGAAAGATCATAAGGTTGATCAAGTCAAGAAGTTTGACTCTTCTTCAGATAAAAGTCCACTATCTAACTCTGTTAAGTTTCTATTATAAGATTCTCATTACATGATGTGACTAGGTCACATGTTGATGCTTTAAGAATCAAAGAAAAGTGAAGAAACTTAAAGGAAGTACATGTTGATTCTGATCACGAAGATGGATTTCGATCGCATGGTTTGGTGATCAGAATTTTTGAAGCTGTTACTTAGGAGTTATGATATATTGCTTAGGAATAGATAACAAGTTTTTCATATGCATTTGCACTGTAAGGATAAGTTTTTTCCGCAAAG